CTTCACTGGGCATGGTTTTCAGACCTTCACCATTTTGGTTGCTGTACTCTGGACAATCAATATTGCAGTATGTTGCAATGGTTTGAGGTTTGGACTAGGAATCTGGGAGATCAAGGTTCAAATCCCTGCTGGGCGATAGAAACCCACTTGATAACCTTGGGCAAGTCACAGCCTCAGAAGAAGGCCATGGCAAACCTCCTCTGAACAAATCTTGCCAAGAGAACCCTGATTTGTTTTTGTTTTGTTTTTTTACAGCTAACATAGTTTAATAGTGTTGGATTAGCATTCTGAGAGACCAGGGTTCAGATCCCTCCTCAGCCACGTAAAAGCCCTGGGCAACCTTTGGTGCAAGTCCTATTCTCTTAGGCTCAGAGGGAGACAATGGTGGCAAACCTCTCTGACAGTAAGTAAGCCCTAGCTTAGGGTTGGCATATTTTTAGAGGCAATATACTGTAGTGGATTGAGTTGGACCAAACCTTCAGGACACCAGGGTTTGAATCCCTATTCTACTATGGTGACCCCTGGGTAAGCTTAAAGTCACATTTTTTCGCAGGAAAGCCATGGCAAAGCCCCTCTGAGCATATCTTGCCAGGAAAACATCATGATAGAGTCAGAGTCAACTTTAAGGCACATAACATCGTCAAAAGTTAGGAAAAGATCTAACTTTTTAAGGTTGATTCAGCCTTGTATCTTTCCAAGGTGACTAAAATGAGTGCCCAGCTTGATGGGGGCAATTGGCTTACACATTGTAAACCGCTTAGGGAGTGCTAAAGTGCACTGATAAGCGGCATAGAAATGTACTTGCTTTTGCTACTTGCTATAGAGACCTCATAGATCAAAAAGACTTGAGTGTTCCCTTGACATTTTTTCAAAAAGAGAGACTTTTGTGGATTTGATTACTTGTGGTTTTGACTAATACCGTATGTTCTCTCTACGGATTTCTAGATCCTCCAGTGCGACTCTGCCAGAAGCTGACCATAGAGTTGTGCTGGAGAACCTAGAAGTTCCTAGAGAAAGCACTTCTCTCTCTAGGCATTTGTAGGTCCTCAGCATGATTCTATGATCAACCTCTGGCAGATTTAGACCATAGAGTTGCACTGGAGGACTTGGAGATTCCTGGAGATGTGTTCTCTTAGGTAAAAAGAATAGTGCTCTTTTATTTGTGGTTTTTCAACAATCATGGGGGTCCTTCACCCCTAACCTCAGTGGATGTGGAGGGACCACTGTATTACAAAATGGCCCATAGGATAGGACAGGAACCATCCAAAATCCATACTGGTTCCAGGGGACATGCCTCCAGAGCACTCATTCCTCACAGTTAGGGCCCAGTCCAGCCAACAGCCTTCAGGTCAAGGCAGGAGTCTTTCAGAAAACGCAGCAGCCAGCGTTGGATCAACCAGCAAGAGCCGTATCTGATTTTGCACAGCAGCCTCGTTCTGGTGGGGTCCGGCTGACGCCATCTCGGCCACAGCAGCCTGTCGAGGAGGGAGGGAAGGAAGGAGAAGACACCAGATTCCCTGCTAGCCCAGCCACAGATAGAAACGATAAGTGACTCCTAGAGAGTGCAAGGAACCAAATTCCTCCCATTCTCTCCAGTGCCTGCTCCCCCCCCCCCTTCCTTCCCCTCATATCCAAAAAGCGAAAACATTTCCCTTACTAGGGCATGGCAGGAAAATTGCATAAAAAAAGGACCATCGGCCTGAGCTCAACAGAGGCGGCAGTGGAGGAGGATAAATAAATGCATCCCGGTGATGGTGGTGGGAAGCTTGTGGTGTTCATTGCAACCCTAGAAACTCTTTCCTCGAGGCTACAGACCTGGGGAAGAGGGGGGGGGGGTCTCCCTTGCCTGGGAAAATACCAATTCCTCTGAAGAGAAGTAAGCACCCTGCTTCTTCCAGATGAGTTATATCACTCTGGCATCCTCTTTGTGAGCCCTGAACTTGGCTGTGTCCTCAGCCTGGCCCGATAACAGCCGTGTTGCTTAAAGAGGTCCACAACAGCCCCGGCAGTCTTGAACCTTTCAACACATAAAACACACTGCCAGATGCTTTTCCTCAATGCTGAGACGACCAGAGAGGAGGTGGCGGCTCCGGTGTGAGGAAATTTCGGGATACTGACAACGCTCGGGACACCCTGAGAGAGTGAGGAGAAGCAGAGGAGGCCAGGGCCGCAGGCCGCCCCTGAAACTTTTGGGCTGCCTGGTCAAGTGACCACTTACCAAAATAGCACCGGCTCTATTTCTGCCTTAGGGGGCTTCCATACATACACCAGGCGCGTGCAAGCGGATTCTCCTTCTCTTTGGAAAAACAGGGAGGAGAATAATTCTACAATGGTCTCATGGAAAACTGGTATCAGAGGAGGAAGGACAGGAATATATGCCCAGGGATCATTTGTGGGGAAAGTGAGACCCATTAAAGCTCTGGGTCACGGCAGAAGCCAACCAAAACTAGCCCCTCACCTGCCATGGTT